ATTGATATTTGAAGAAGTGAAGTGCAAGATGACTAAAGAAGAAAGAAACAAAGCTTTTAAGACAGTAACCAAAACCAAAAGTAAAACACCTTTCAAGTGTTTCAATTGTAATCAGATAGGTCATGCCAAGATCAACTGCCCCAACAAAGGTAAGAGAAATTGCTCTGTCTGTAAAAGGAATAATCACTCGAAAAGGACTGTTACTTTAGAAATAAGGACAGTGATACGAGAAAACAATGTACAGTATGTAATAAAACGAACCATGCTGAAAAGGACTGTTATTTTAAAGATAAGAATAAAAGAAGCAAGGTCAATTTTCTAGCTGAAGCAGCAGAAACCCATGTGAGCAATGCAAGTAAAAAAAGACAAAATGTATGTAGTGGATAGTGGTAGCACATGTCATATGACAAATTTGAAGACTGATTTGATACATACTAAGCAGTATACTCTGTGTATAAAGGTAGCAAAGAAAAATCAAAGTATGACTGCAAAAAAATAGGCAATTAAGAATTTAAAGAGTGTAGTTTGAAAAACGTTTCATATGGTCCAGAACTCAGCAAGAACCTGCTGTCAGTGCACTGTATTACAGAAACTGATGGGTATATGTAAACAGAGAGAAAGCAATGGACAAGAAAATTCTGACCAGTAAATGGGTTTTCAAAATAAAGGATGGTGGAAGACACAAAGCCAGACTGGTTGTGAGAGGATGTCAACAAAAGGAGGGGGAAATAGATTTCAAGGATACCATTAGCCCAGTTGTTGACATGAATTCTCTTAGAGTACTGTTTGCCATAGCAGCACATAAGAATATGAACATGCAAACCTTTGATGTGAAGACTGCCTTCCTGTATGGACATTGAGGAGGAAAACTACATGGAGATACCAGAAGGATACAAGAACGCTGGCAAGATATGTCTCCTGAAAAAGGCATTATGTGGCCTAAGACAAGCACCATCACAATGGAATAAGAAGTTGACAACCTTTCTAAAAGAAGAAGGTCTAAACCAACTAAAATCTGACCAATGCATTTTTAAGAATGATGCCAGTAGTTTGTTCATGGGCATTCATGTGGATGACGGGATAATCATGGGAGAGGATGAAAGGCAAATAGAGGAAATTTTGCTGAAACTGGAAAATCAATTCCAGATAATAAAAACCACAAATCCAAAAGTTTATTTAGGAATACAAATTGAGAGGCAACCAGATGGGATACATATCTCTCAAACCAACTATGCAAGCCAAATGTTGGAAAAATACAACATGCAAGAAAGTCAAGAAATGAAAACACGCATGGCCAAGACCCCACCAACAAATGACAAAGGAGAAAATGACATAAGATTTCCTTACAGAGAAGCTGTAGGAAGCCTGCTATATATGACTTCTAAAACCAGAACCGATATGGCATTTGCTGTAAATGTGGAAAGTCGAACCTTGGAAAATCCTGACAAAATAGCTGTTCAGAATGTGAAAAGGACCCTTAGGTATGTGAAAGGTACACGAGATTCAGGAATAAAATATACCTCATCTGACTCCGAAACTGTGAAACTGGAAGCATTTAGTGATGCTGATTATGCAGGGGATTTAAAGGATAGGAAGAGTGTAATGGGATATGTAATTATGATGTCAGGGGCCCCAATATCATGGTGATCTAGGAAACAGAGTATTGTTGCATTATCAACCACTGAGGCCGAATATATTGCAGCAGCTGAGGGCTGTAAAGAATTGAAATATCTAAAGACATTGATAGAGGAATTGACAGGAAAGAGGGTGGAAGCTGAACTGTGTGCCGACAATCAGAGTGCAGTCAAGCTAACAGAATCTGGACAAGTAACGTGTAGGAGTAAACACATAGACGTTACATATCACTACATAAGTGAACAACTGAAAGAGAAACTGTTCACAATCAAATATTGTAACACTGAAACTCAGGTGGCAGACATTTTAACAAAACCGCTATCACCAGAGAAATTTACCAAGTTTAGAGACATTATACTTAAGAAGAAATAAGTCTGATTTTGAGAAGACTGAGAAATTTTTAATTACATGTACTAATTTTGTAATCTGAAGACCAAAATTACCAAGTGTTATTCAATTTAAATTTGTAAAACAGCTCATAATGTTGACAGCATTTTGAAATTAAGGATGAAAATGAGAAACGTGTTTGTAACATTTTGAAATTAAGGAGGAATGTTGAGAATCTAGTAATGTAAAAATGTTGAAGTTGGTAACAGTGATCTGTATTCATTTGATTTTGTTTTTGTTTTGTATTATAATAAAAAAGTTTCTGCTCAACCAATATGACTGTTAAGTGATATGTAAGCAAGACAAAGAAAATCAACATTGTCAAGCATGAATGTGCCCCATGTAGTTAGATAAGTAGGCATTTAAACCATGTAAGTCTACTGTCGATTAGCTTACCACCAACAGTTCATGTCGGCAGTAAATGAATATTGAGAGTATGTGACCATATAAAAAAAATCATTTGAAAAACAGCATCAGAGATAGAAGTTCGGTTCATCGTATTATCAAGTTTGTTATGTGCTCTTGTGAGAAATTAACATACGTTAAAAGTGAATGTTGAAACAGCTGAGGTACATAAATTTACAAAGATTGAATTTTGAAAATATATGTGCTTAATTTAAGTACAGCTTTCTGCAGGTTTATTCATTTTAGGAATGTCCAGGGGCCACAATATACTGAATATCAGCATCCTTGGAGCACAGCAGATTACTCTATAGTAGTTGCATAGGTTCATAAAATTAACAAATTACTACTGCATGTAAAACAATAAATAATTTCAATGCTGCAGAAACATGTGGCATTCCTGAAGAAAGGAAATTATTGGAGTTGTGCTTGTAAGTTCATAAAATGTTAATGATGGATAAATTGAATACTGTAAATTGTTTTCTCAGTCTCTCCGAAGAAATGCTTAGATAGTACCTTCAAATTATTAATCACCTCATCTTTACACATTTTTTCTGATTAATCATTTCATAACTGTTTATACCATATATTATATGATGCTACCTAATGCTATCCCACTTCTTTTCAGGAGCACCCAAGACCATTCCATTTTTTTTGTCACATTTGTTACCATCTCAGTACTTCAGTATTTATTTAGTACTGTACCAAACAAACATACCCTTCCTTTTCACCTTTTTCGGCATACTGTGACACAGAATGATAGATACTCAAAAATGTCCCCCTCCCACATGTACACTTTCACGTAATCATTCAATACTCTATATATTTTAGAGAAAAATTGTAAGATCGTTTAATCAACTTTTTGTTGGTCCAAATCTGATAGTCCAGGATCAGCATGCAGTACACAAATGGCTGGTAATTTATTGTACAACTTACATTTGAATGCACATGATGACACTAACATTTAACAACACTGATTGTCCCACCAAACATGAATGTGATTAAACGAACCATGCTAAAAATTAACTTGTTCAAATAATGTAAGTTAGGGGGAGCCTAATATTTTGCACATAAACAGTTCAACTAAAGTCATAAATTACTTTGTATTCAAGAAGGCCCAAGTTGTGTGTAAGGAGTTTGCAGATCCAGCAGATCATTAGCTCAAAGTTACACAACACCATTTGATATCTAATTTACTACCTCATTTGCCTCAGAATTAAGGTATAATGCTTTTCAGCAGTGGGATGATGATAATAAACATTCAGAATTTCTTCTCTAGGCTGACTTGTATTAACCCAAGTTGAAACTACATATAAACAGCTTTAGTTTACTTTCATTTGCAAGTTTTGATGAGTTTGCCCCTTCCCTGTCCCTATGATTTACTGCTGATTTCACTTTGACCTTGAGATGTGGGTGAAAACTAATCAAATTCAGAATAGGCCTGCGCTACTATAGTGACTTCCTAAATTGGATAGTTCCTTTCAGGTTTCCTGATTAAATTATTGTATACATTTCTTAACTACACCATGCATGCTACATGCCCCATGCATCTCACTTTCCCGGCTGATCGTGCTGTACTATTTGGAGAAAAGCTTATGAATTCCCTCATTATGCATTTTCTCCATGTTTCTGTTACTGCTTCCATGGGTCTAAATTCTCTCTTCTGCACCCTGTTCTCAGATGCCCTTAAGTTGCATAATTTAATCTTTATGTTTAACATAGGAAGCAGGAAGATACAAAATTGTGAACTGAAATGTAGCATGCATTTACTAAATTTCATTGGGTCTTAATTTTTTGAAAATGTAATTTTGACTTGTTGCTGTCCATTCTCAAATATTTTAACATTTGCACATTTTTAAGGCATTATTAGCAAAGAATGAGTCATTTAATTTATAATGTAACATGATAAAATAATCTGAACAAAAATTGATGTTCCCAGTTCAAACTTTATTGTTGTATAGCTGAAGGAAGTGCATTAAAATCACCAATAAGAAACCCAAATCTAAAGTACAACTCACATGTCAAAGTAATTACATTATATGTACAGTGACCCAGCTCTAACAATGGACAATTTGTATTATCAAATGTAATGAATACACTAAATTTAACTCTTCATATTTAAACATGAAACTGAATCAAGTGAGGAAAATATACACCTATGACATTCTGTATGTAGCCATGCATGTCAATTCTTCAGTTAGAATTCCCAAGATGCTGGTTTGAACCAATTAAATTGATATGAGATAAATCCTGAAGAAGATTTATAGCAACGTTCATTAATTTGTAGCGTTGAAGTTTGATAGACAGATCCCATGATTTGACATCTTGTTGCCTGATTATGTTAGAAGTAGAATGCTGCATTATACCAGTGCTTCACAAATAGGTGTTTTGCCATTATTGACTGCCTCTTTGTAGGTTTACCTGTTTATGTGATAATGAAATACGCATTCATATCATCAGATGGTGACAATTTTATAGGAAGTTATTGGAGAGGATTATTAGTGTGTTACCACCTGTGACCTAAGTCTGTTTGCTTATGTTCACAATTTCTGTCTTCCTTTTCTTTTTACCTCTAGGACTTGCATGAACTGGGCCGTCCTCTGTTCTGCAAGGTAATGGATGACTGGCTTTCTGCTGCCCATGTTTGTTAGCAACCATGTGTGAACTTGAATGCCTTGCTTGCCTTATAAACTTTGTGTTTCTTATTTAAGTACTCAGTCTCGTAGCAAGCCAATCAGTATGCCCATAGAAAAAGAAATAAGCTGCTGTATTTGTGCATGTATGCTCACTTACATTATAGCACATTGACAGATAATGTGTAATGTCCAGTTATGTTACCAGTGAGATGGTACTTCCTGTGTACAGAAACATTAGATGAAAAAAATACCAATTGTTTTTCTATAATATGGATTATATTAGGATCTTCAAACAATTTAAATTTTGCCATGCATTATTTTAACTCTATATGTTGAATTAGGTACTGTTTTTTGTACATAAGAGAATTGTATCAGCAGTTAATTGGGTAGAGTTCGTTAGTGATAGGATATCATATATAATACTAAAAGGTCGCTGGTGTGATATCATTGTTATGAATGTTCATGCCCCAACAGAAGATAAAATTGATGACATAAAGGACGGGTTCTATGAAGAACTAGAATATGTATTTGATAAATTCCTGAAGTACCCCATGAAAATGTTGTTAGGAGATTTTAATGCTAAAGTAGGGAAGGAAGACATTTTCAAACCAACGATTGGGAATGAGAGTTTGCATGAAATTAGTAATGATAATGGAGTTAGAGTAGTAAACTTTGCCACATCAAAAAACCTTACTGTCAAAAGTACAATGTTCCCACATCGTAACATCCATAAATTTACTTGGACATCTCCTGATGGGAAGATACACAATCAAATAGACCATATTTTGATAGATAGGAGACGGCACTCAAGTATACTTGATGTCCGATCATTCAGGGCAGCAGAGTGTAATACTGACCACTACCTGGTGGTGGCAAAGGTTAGTGAAAGACTGGCAGTGAGCAAACAAACAACACACATAGTTCATATGGAGAGGTTCAATCTCAAGAAATTAAATGAGGTAGAGGGTAAAGAGCAGTATTGTGTTGAAATCTCAAATAGGTTTGCGGCTTTGGAAAACTTGGACACTGAGGTGGATGTTAATAAAACTTGGGAAACTATTGGAGAGAATATAAAAATGTGTGCCAAAGAGAGAGTAGATTATTATGAACCGAAGAAGCATAAGCCATGGTTCAATGAAGGATGCTCAAAACTATTAGATCAAAGACAGCGGGCCAAGTTGCAATGGTTACAGGATCCAGGCGAGTTAAATGGGGATAATCTGAACAATATAAAATGTGAAACCAGAAGGCATTTCAGGAACAAAAAGGGGGAATATCTGAAAGACAAAATTGATGAGCTTGCAATGAACAGTAAGAACAAGAACATTAGAGACCTGTATAGAGGAATGAACGACTTTAACAGGGTTACCAGCCTAGCAGTAACTTATTGAAGGCTGAGAATGGTGATCTGCTTGCAGATTCCCACAACATTTTGAATAGGTGGAGGAACTACTTCTCTCAGTTATTGAATGTACATAAGGTCAGTGTTGTTAGGAAGACAGAAATCCATACAGCTGAGCCAGTAGTACCTGATCCTAGGCCTTTTGAGGTTGAAAGTGCTATTGCAAAATTGAAACGGTATAAATGGCCAGGCAGTGATCAAATTCCAGCAGAACTTATTCAAGCAGGAGGCGAAATATTACGTTCTAAGATTCACAATATAATTACTTCTATTTGGCATAAGGAAAAATTTCCTGATCAGTGGAAGGAGTCTATTATTGTACCAATTCACAAGAAGGGTGATAAAACTGACTGTAGTAATTATCTGGGGATATCACTGCTATACTTCATACAAAATTTTATCCAGTATTCTTCTCTCAAGGTTAAGTCCATATATAGAAAAAATTATTGGGGATCATCAGTGTGGCTTTCAGTGTACCAGATCAACTACAGATCAGATCTTTTGCATTTGTCAAATACTTGAAAAAAGAAAATGGAAGTACAATGAGACAGTACATCAGCTATTTGTAGACTTGAAGAAAGCCAGTGATTCAGTTAGGAGGGAAGTATTGTACAACAATATTCTGATGGGGTTTTGGGTACTCATGAAACTAGTTAGCCTGATCGAAATGTATAGTAAAGTCCATATAGGTAAACATTTGTCTGATAATTTCCCTATCCAGAATGGTCTAAGAAAAGCAGATGCTTTATCGCCACTGGTTTTCAACTTTGCTTTAGTATATTTAATTAGGAAGGTCCAGGGAAAGTAGGTGGGACTGAAATTGGCTGTTGGCCAATGCTGATGATGTGAATCTACTTGGTGATAATGTAGATACCATAAAGAGAAACACAAATTTTAATTGACGCAAGTAAAGAGGTTAGTCTAGAAGTAAATACAAAGAAAACTATGTATACGTTGCTCTCTTGTCACCAAAATGCAGGGCAAAATCATGCCATAAAGATAGGAAACAGATGTTTTGAAAATGTGGCACAGTTCAGATATTTGGGAACAACGATAACAAATCAAAACTTGATTCCGGAGGAAATTAAGAGGAGACTGAACTTGGGTAATGCTTGCTACCATTCAGCCCTGAACCTTTTGTCTTCTCGTCTGCTGTCCAAAAACATAAAAATTAGAATATACAAAACTATAATTTTGCCTGTGGTTCTGTATGGGTGTGAAACTTGGTCTGTGATATTAAGGGAGGAAGATAGACTGAGGGTGTTCGAGAAGAGGGTGTTGAGGAGAATGTTTGGACCATAGAGAGATGAAGTGACAGGAGGTTGGAGAAAACTGCACAGTGAGGAGCTTCATAACTTGTACTCTTCTCCAAGTATAATTAGAATGATCAAGTCAAGGAGGATGAGGTGGGCGGGGCATGTAGCATGAATGGGGGAGACAAGGAATGCATATAGGATATTGGTGGGAAAGCCAGAAGGAAAGAGACCACTGGGAAGACCAACGCATATGTGGGTGGACAATATTAAACTGGATCTTAGAGAGAGAGGATGGCATGGTATGGATTGGATTGATCTGGCTTGGGATAGGGACCAGTGGAGAGCTCTTGTGAACACGGTAATGAACCTTCGGGTTCCATAAAATGCTGAGAAATTCTTGAGTAGCTGCAGAATTGGCGGCTCCTCCAGAAGCGCTTAGCTCCATGAGTAAGTAAGTATGGTTGTTATTTGTGGTGACAGCACTTTATTCAACATGCCTGAATTTAATGCACATTTCTTTCCTCCATCTGCTGCCTGAAAAGTTGCATTCACTTAGTCTGTTAGGTAATTATATTCCAAGAAATGACTGGAAATATGCATTCAATTTTATCGGAATATTTGGACTGTGACAGCTGTTGAATCTGATAGATCGGATTCATACAGTTTTTTTTCTGGGAGCCCAAACCTCTTCCACGTCTTTTCAGCTTCCTGAAGTAACTGCCAAAGACTGTTGTATTATTTGTACATTTTAATCATTCAGAACTTGTGCTTTTGTTTTAATCTGTCTTATTAGTGTCATTCTCTGGGAAGAAAGATAAAAGGATGGAATTTACCTTTTAAGTTTTCAACAAAGGTAATAAAAAATATGAGAAAAGGCAGGCATAAACTTAATCCTTATCCCAGTTTCTATTTACTCATCTTACTAGCAGATTTGTATTGTTCTTTGAAGTGTTTACAGAAAATGTGCTAGTAAGCCATACTATTGGCCACGCCATAGCTCAAGCAGCACTGCGGCTGCCCAGGTTCGATCCCGGGTCTGGTGAAGTGGGATTTGTGGTGGACAAAGTGGTGCTGGTGCAGGTTTTCTCCGAGTACTTCGGTTTCCTCTGCCAATCTTCATTCCACACTCACCTTCACTTATCATCTGGGGCTGGTACAGTAGGCCAGAAGTGGCCGCAGTACAAGGGACTTAGTCCCACCCCACTAGCAAAAAAAAAACATACTATTGCATAGCGTTAGGAAGAACCCACAGTATCATTACAATTTGCGTGTTATACAACATCATAGATGCGTGTTAATGTGCTTACCAGTAAAAAGTTGTTGTATACTGACAAAAGTTATTTGAAATTAAATCTGAATTATATGTGTTGACCTTGAAGCTAAAACCAAACTTTAGATTACTGAAAGACATTCGTTTAGAAGAAAGAATGCTGTATAAATATGTACAGAATACACATTCATATACATAATTACATATAATCATGGTTTCCCAGCAACAAACAAATTGTGATCTAACACAAAAGAGTACTTGGATATGCCTACGCTCTTCCCCTGACAGGCTGGTAATTGCTGCAAAATGGCCACAAAGCATATATGGGGCCCAAGTCCGATGTACCATATCATATAATAAAAAATTCTACAGCCATCAAATTTTTGTCATTTCTGTACACCTACTTTCAATTTTCATCTGACTGGCAAACTACTGACTGACTAGTTGGCTGACTGATAGACTCATTGCTTATCTGACTGATGAACTAACTCTGTGATATTAGAAGCTAGATTTGCCACTACTAATATCATAAAAGCTAACCATCTTACAGGATTCTGAGCCAGTTCCAGTCATCTGCAATCTTCACACACTATTTCTTTTTGATCCATTGTAATGTCTTATTCCAGTATCTTTCTCAGTCTGCAGACTGGTAGCTCTCCATGAGATATCCACAACAAAATTCTGTATGCCTTTGTAGTCTACCTCATCTGAGCTACATATCCAGCCATTTGTAACTTCTATATTTCACCAGTTCAACAGTTCTAGTGACCTGTATAAATCATAAAAATCTGTGTTATATCACACAGTAAGACCTGCTGATGACTTTCTCAAGGGATGTGAAATTTTTCTATTTCAACAAGTTTGTGTTTAACACAGGTATGTTTATATAGAAATATGGCTTAGAACATACACCATGTATTAATTAACGACCAAAATCACAACCAGAAATTGTCATTACATATGTACACTACTGTTGCTAAGTACCAAACATTTACAGTTTCCATTCTTCTATTTGCCAGTACTTCATTGAAGCATTCCACACATACTT